AGGATGGGGATGAAAAAGAATTGTTGTTAACTTTGGAGGATTTCGAATATGATAAAACGTTAAATTATGAAAATGGTGGTAATGGGAAACGTAGAATGAGTTATGAGGAAAATGAAACTGAAAGAGAAGAGAGTGAAAATATAAAACGTGCCAGATTTGATAAATCGTGTGGTGAATGTAGTAATACTAGTACTAATAATAGTTATATAGAATTGTCTAAAGAAGATTAATTTGAAATTTATTAATAAAATAAAATGCTATTTTATATTTATTTTATTTCAAAACAGAATATTCAAAATACTAGATATTTAGGAATTTTTTCTGATGAAAGTGTAGTTGATGATTGGTATAAAGCTGTATTAGAATTATCAAAAAAGAATCCTAGTGAGGTTAAATATTCTATTGAGAAGGTATTTCGGGAATGGTATACATTATCTCATTCAGATCATATTATTCATATAACTCGAAATGCTCCTGAAAATGAATTAAAAGAATTTAAAGGAAAATGTTTCTGGTTATTAATGGACAATGTGGGGGGTAGACATATACCTCTAATTAATAATTTTGGAAGAAGTGGAGGAGGTAATTCAGGTATTAACAACCCCGGATCAAATTCAGGTTCATCACCATCCTTATCTATATAACTAATAACCACACTTCCACCATAACGCAAAGATTCATTTGTTAAATTTTCATCTTTATCCTTTTTTCATAAATCGAAATTTCCAATATTAATTATCAAACAATTTTGACGTAATTCTTTTTGAAAAATTTCATCTTCAATTAGATATAGGTTTCCTGATTCATTTAACAAAACTACACAAGATTTTGAACCTTTATTTTTAATGGTTTTCGAATAAGCCGTTCGTAAATTAAATTCTTCCTGACAAAATAACATTTCTCAATACGTATACATTATTGATTTTTTTTGATCACTGTTATGTCTAAAAAAATCAATATCATCAAGAATCACATATTTTGCATTATTATTCTATTGTTTTGATTCTCTAAGCTTACAATAGTATATATGTGGCAATTTTAAAGATCTAAACAAAGCAGTTTTACCTGAACGAGTATTCTCTACAATCATTATACTTTTATACCGGTTCTTTTTTGTAAACAAAATTTCTTTAATCCATTCAAATATTATTTTTGGAACCCAAAAATCATCTAATTCATAAAATGATTTATAACACAATTCTTTTTCGATTTCTTCCTTCTCCTCTTCCTCTTTTCTTATTTGATGAAGTTTATGTAATTGCATAATATGTTTTGCTATTTTTGGATCTCGTTTAAAAATATTAATAAATTCATAATTTGTTGTTTGATTAAGTATAATACTTACAGCTTTTTCAAAACTCCCTTGTTCTTGTTTATCAATTTTCACTTTTTCATTATTTATCCTTTCTTTGAAATTTTTTTCTCCAAAAATAAATAGACCTTTTTGCTCTGAAGTTAATTCATTTCCTAAAATATCGTGAACAATTAATAATTCATGAAATTCTTGACAAAAATCATCACATTTATCACAATAAATATCTAAATTAATATAATTACATCGACATTCTCTATGAATCGAATATCTCTTATATTTCTTTATTGAATAATTTCACATATCAATAGCACTTTTATCATCTCCATAAAAATTATTCATTATATTCATACTCATATTTCCTTAATTCGTTTAAAATTCATTCATGAAGATAATTGAATATAACACTGTTCATAAAATCGTCCAGATTCTCCTCTTTCATACTGTCCTGAAAAATATTTAACATTTTCGTTAATATTTTCAAATTGTTCTTGCGTTGTAATTATTGTCCTTTTATATTCAATTCTATCTTCAACACAATTTGAACATATCAAATCATTACATTGATATTATCTACAACATTTTTGACATGAATTTCTACAACAAACATGATTTTTTTGACATTTTTTACATAGTGATCCATCTTTAGCTACAGATTCTCTACATCTGAATCTTTCTAAACAATTTATACAAAGAGTAATAGTAACTAAAGCATGTTTAACCTTGTATTGTTTTTTTGAAAACATTTTATATCAT